AAAGTACTACACTTTCTACCTTCATCCATCAGGAGGCGCCGTGCTGTGCAGCACAAGGGTCTCAGCCTTTGGGCTGGGTGTATGTAAATTTATTGTATGTTCTCAGCATTTGTGGTTGTGTCTACTTGCCACATCTAAGTAAAATACTGTTGTGGCAAAAGCTGGTGTTGGGGTTGCTTTCCTCGTTCATGACTTCACGGTATCCTGGGGAGCCCACCCCGGTACATGGCTTACAGCTGGGGGGTGCAAAGTTGGGTTGCAATTCAGCTCACCTCTGCACCCCCCCGCCGCAGCTCACCTATGCACCCTGTCTGCAACTCACCTGACTCAATTTACCTCTGCAACACCTGACTGCAGCTCACCTTTGCACATTCCCCCTCCCTCTCCACTGCCCTCAAATGGTTAGCTAGTTTTGCAAAACACAGCTGTCAGCAGCCGGCCCCTCTCTACAGTAACTCCCGTTTTGGGTCCTATCTGCCCACACAGTGCACCAAGTGCACTTACTGCTCCACCTCTTCCTCACTGGCTGGTGATCACCCCTGGGGCATCGACTTCCATGCATTAGACTGCAGGAGTAGATGCCCCACCCCTAAACACACTACATACTGCACCCGCAGATATCTGTTCCTTCCTTGTCCCACAGTGAGTACAGAGGTAGGGAGGTTCTGTGGGAGCGGATGGTGCTGTCACTTCAGCCGCGCTTCTGTGTTTATAAGAGGCCATAGATATGGGTGTGCACAAGGCTAGTGTCGAATGGCATTCCGCCATGTTCCGGCAGAAAAAAAGCCCTGATCACAACTAGATCTTATTTTTGGGGTAGGTCTTATACTTTAGCAATACCCAAAAATAGCACTAGGTCTTATTTTCGGGGTAGGTCTTATTTTAGGGAAAACAGGGTATAAGTCTACTCCTTGCTGATTGTGCCTGAGGATAAAAGCACCTAGATGTTAGCTTACTTAGAGATTGGATGTGTATGATAGGAAATCTGCAACAGAGACCCAGGTAGGAAGAGAGTTTATACAGAGATCATGTACCAGGGTCAGCGGATACTTCTGGAAGACAGTTCCAAAATAAAGTTGAGTGATCAATGTAGCCCCCATGCAATTTTAAGGCATTTCATTTTGCACAAACTTAAGATATATAACAAAAAACAGTGCTTAAATGTGAATAGCAAACGTCCAATTGAAATTCTTAATAAACAATGTAAGTTATTGCGTGTTCTTAAACACCACTGTACTTCAGTAACATAACCATGTGCTCCACTCCACCGTGTTCAAAGTCAACACTCTGCACTCACCAGATAGATTTGACCTTTTGTTATAAAACAAGAAGTAGAAAAGTGCCTACTGATCTATGCATATATCGCTGAACAAGGGATGGAAGACATGAACACCATACAGCCAAGGGGAGTTGCGCGGGAATGTTGTTGCCAATATCACCATCATCAGTCCCACCTTGCTTCTGTTTAATCCTCTAAGGTACATTGATCACTCATATGGGAATGTTAAAGGAAAAAGTAGAGGCTAGCAATCACTGTGTAACATCAGGAAGTGCCACTGGCTCTCCAGAGCACGTTCCAAATGTGGAAATTACATAACGGAAGTCCTACCCTGTGAGTTTCGTCATCAGTATGCTCCTGAGGACATTGCAAACTGATGCCAAAATGCCAGGATTAGGTAGGATCTTAAGGTAAGAAACTCTGCAGGGCAGCCACCAAAAACGTGTATACAGCAAGACATGATGCTGAACAGCCTGAAAAATAGATTTTTGGTTTACATGTTAAATAATATGGATCCCTAAAGTTATTCACTAGAGTCTAGGGAATATTTTAGAGGAAACATTTTCTGACAACCACTGCTGTATATAATTCTGAACTGAATCTATAGTTACCATATTAAAATTTGGAGTACCATGAAAAATACTGGTATGGGACCCTTGTCAGCAGTGTATGTTTAAATTAAGACCAAGCATGCTTCTTAACATCGCTATGGGCATCATTTATCAGAATATCTAGAGACTAAGGACCTGTGTTTTCCCAGAACAGTTCTTTGTCCCTACACATGCAAAATATAAATATATGCCCATAAAGAATTAATTTTTAGGATTGTATGTAATTAAAATATGTTGATTTACCAACATACTGTACACTATATTGCCAAAAGTGTTGGGACACCCCTCCAAATTATTGGATTTAGGTGTTCCAATCACCTCCATGGCTACAGGTGTAAAAAATCAACCACCTAGGCACACAGACTGTCTCTACAAACATAGGTTGCCACCTGTGCAATAAGTCCATCTGTGAAATGTCCTTACTACTAAATATTCCACGGTCAACTGTTAGTGGTATTATAACAAAGTGGAAGCAACTGGGAATAACAGCAACTCAGCCATGAAGTGGTAGGCCACGTAAAATGACAGATCGGAGTCAGTGCATGCTGAAGCGCACAGTGCATAAAAGTTGCCAACTCTCTGGACAGTCAATAGCTAAAGACCTCCAAACTTCATGTGGCCTTCAGATTGGCACAGCGACAGTGTGTAAAGAGCTACAATGAATGGGTTTCCTTGGCCGAGCAGCTGCATCCAAGCCTTACATCACCAAGTGCAATGAAAAGCGTCAGATGCAGTGGTGTAAAGTGACCAATGTTTCTCTGTCTGGCATTCCAATCTATGTCTCTGGGTTTGGCTGTTGCCAGGAGAACAGTACTTGCCTGACTACATTGTGCCAAGTGTAAAGTTTGGTGGAGGGGGGATCATGGTGTGGGGTTGTTTTTCAGGGGTTGGGCTTGGTCCCTTAGTTCCAGTGAAGGGAACTATTAAGGTGTCAGCATACCAAGACATTTTGGAGAATTTTCATGCTCCCAACTTTGTGGAAACAATTTGCTGGTCCCTTCCTGTTCCAACATGACTGCGCACCAGCGCACAAAGCAAGGTCCATAAAGACATGGATGAGCGAATTTGGCGTGGAGGAACTTGACTGGCCTGCAGAGAGTCCTGACCACAACCCAATAGAACACCTTTGGGATGAATTAGAGTGGAGACTGTGAGCCAGGCCTTCTCGTCTGACATCAGTGCCTAACTTTAAAATGCACTTCTGGAAGAATGGTCAAACCTTCCCATAGACACACTCCTAAACCTTGTGGACAGCCTTCCCAGAAGAGTTGAAGCTGTTATAGCGGCAAAGGGTGGACCAACCCAATACTGAACCTTATGGACTAAGACTGGGATGCGATTAACGTTCATGTGCATGTAAAGGTAGGTGTCCTAATACTTTTGGCAATACAGTGTATGTAAAATATGTATATCTTTACTTCTAGCTTTGAAGCTTGAAAATCAGTAGAATCAGTAAAAATCATCCCCTGCAGTGGGGTTGCGCCTGCACTACTTGGGTTAAATGCTTGTTTAGGCCTAGGGAAACAAGAGAAGCAGTTTTACTTACCTGTTCCTCAGCTTCTGCAGGTTCTTCAGTGCTGTAAGACCTCTCCCCACAGACTTTAGAGGGGCTGGACTATGGCCAGCAGGATTAGAAAATGTCCTTGAGTCAGTAACAATGCCCCATCATTGGTGTCAGTGGAAGGAATAGTACCCCATTTTTGGTGTCAGTGGGAGGAATAGTGCCCACTGTTGGTGTGAGAGGCAGGAATTATGCCCCAATGTTGGTGTCAGTGGCAGTAATTAGACTCTATTATTGATGTCATTGGGAGGAATAGTGCCCTAGGGGCCGGATGAAGGCTAGCAAAGGCCCACATCCAGCCCCCAGGCTGCAGTTTGGAGATCACTGCCCTAGACCTAAACAAGCATTGCAGCTCTTGCAGTGTGGGAGCATATCAACTGTAATGGAGGATTTTTTTTATTTTCCCTGGAGTTGAAGTTAAATAGAAAAAAAAGCTCTCTCTGTAACCCTTGATGGGAGATTAGGTTTCTCACTTGGTTGTCTTGTCTGTATTATGTTGAAAACCTAAAACAAAAAAAAGTATTCTTTAAAAAATAAAATCTCTCTGTAAACCTTGATGAGCGAATAGCTTTCTCACCTGTGTGTCTTCTCTGAATTGTAAAAAAAATTGAATATAATTTATTATTATTTAAAAAAAAAAAGAATACAGATGATATATACCTCTCACCGCTGCCTATGCTGCTCTAACACTGCTCTAATGAGGAGAAATTGTTCCCTGAAGTCTGTACAGAAACCAACACTTTTGGCAGTGTCAATCTCCTGACCCCCCCGCTGCACTCTATGGTTCCTTCTGCTATCCTAAGGTTACTACAGGATGCTGTGGTGATGTAAGAGCTGACAGAAGGAACCACTAAGCACAGCAGGGGAATAGGAGATTGACACTCCAGATAGTGTTGGCTTCTTCTTCTAGGTTTTACTCTTCATTAAAGTGGCATTCGGCACCATGGGCAGCAGGAGAGGTACTGTAAGCATCTATTGTCATCTTTTCAGGGAAAGCTTCTATTTTCTTTTTCAGTTTAGCAGTCACTTTAAGAATGCTACAGTAACAAAAAATTAAGAGACACAGTAATTCTTTTGAGATTCATAAGCATTTTTTCTTATTATCTACAGTATTTTCTTATTATCTCTCACAGATATGGGATCACAGGAGAATACAGGAATAATCCTGACCTCTCAAAACTAGTTTTAATCTGTTTAAAACTTTTAATTGACTTTCAACAGTTTGCAAATTAATTCAACTTTATTAAACACACAGCAAAATTGTTATCACTTGTGCAGGGACTCTGTTAAAGAATATCGGAACCCAAAAACAACAATTAAATAAATTGCTTATATATTGCTATACAGCTTACCTTGCCCTTAGATGTGATGGCTGTGTTGTCATATACCAGGGGTATTGAATTAAAATTCAAGGAGGTCCGGTCACTAAAATGTTCTTCTTTCCGAGGTCCGAATAGGGTGTGCCCATCAGTGTGCCCCCTTACATTAGGTTTCGCCATCAGAGTGCAACTTTACATCATGTATTCCCATCACAACAGGTGTGCCTATCAGAGTGCTTGTTTACATTAGTTGTCCCCATCAGAGTGCCCCTTTACATCAGGTATCCCCATCACATTGCCACCTTACATCAGGTATTCCGTCAGAGTGCCCCCTTACACTCAAAGTACCCCTTTCTGCCATATTTCCCCATCAGAGTGCCCCTTTACATCATATTCCCCATCAGAGTGCCCCTTGCCATCACATGTGCCCATCAGAGTGCCTCTTTCCGTAGTATGTGCCCATTTGTGCCCCCTTAACATAAAATAGGCCCATCAAAGTGCCCCTTAACATAAAATTTGCTCATCAGAGTGCCCCTAACATACAATGTGCTCATCAGAGTGCCCCTTAACATAAAATGGGCCCATCAGAGTGCCCCTTCACATAAAATGTGCTCATCAGAGTGCCCCTTAACATAAAATGTGCTCATCAGAGTGCCCCTTAACATATAATGGGCCCATCAGAGTGCCACTTAACATAAAATGTGCTCATCAGAGTGCCCCTTAACATAAAATAAGGGGCATGCTGATTGGTGCATTTTATGTTAAGGGGCACGCTGATGGGCACATTTATATTAAAGGGCACTCTAATGGATACATTTTATGTTAAGGGGCACTCTAATGAGCACATTCGATGTTGTGCCCATCAGAGTGCCCCTGTAAGACTACACCCTACCTCGAGGGCAGACAGGAGCTGTGCCGGGATCCTTGCTGGATACTTGTGTACAGGCAGGAAGTGGGAGCTGGAGAGACAGTGAGCTGAAAGGGGCGAGCCGCACACGTGATGTCATGTTGCTGTGATGACCATTCTGCTCACTGGCGAATCTGTCATTGCGGGCTGGCGGGTTAGCCGCTCGGGCGGCAGCGCTGCTGAGGCCGTTCACGGTCTGCGGTCCGCCATTTAGTGACTGCTGTCATATACTATATGCAAAGGATGAGGATTGATAATTATAATACAAAATACATCCAGTTCAGTCAGATGCTGGCCTGGTCAATAACGTGAATATACACATATACTATATATATATATATATATATATATATATATATATATACTGTATATACAATATCCTACAGGCTGCATTAGTTTTCTTTTTTTCAGGCTTAGTACATTTTTAGCAAGTACAAAAAAATGCCTGTAAATCTTTCCTGTGAGCTGCATTGAAGAGCAACAATGGCTCCCTCTATACAGTAGATACAGTGGAGGAGTAAATGTAGTCACCCTAGGACAGTAAGTGTGTTATTCACAGGATTACCAGGTAAAAATATAGAAAAAAAAAACTTGAAAGAAAAAAAATAATGAAGCTGACACCTCGAAGGAATTGTAAGCTACAATATATGAAATATATTGTTACTATGTTTATATAAACATTAAGAAATTAAGGCTGACAAGACTATTTTAAAAAATGTTGGCAAGTTACATGTTGGAGAGAACATTGAACTCAGGGGCGGACTGACCATTTGGAAACTCGGGCACTGCCCGAGGGCCCGGGGTCAGTAGGGGACCCCATGAGATGCTCCTGGTACCTTTTTCATAGGCTTTTTTGAGTTTGGGCAAGGACACAGGGGCCCTATGATCCCATTGGGCCCGGGGGCCCCATGAGTTGTCAGCCCACCCCCTGATTGAACCTGTTTGTTTCAGGATTCGGGATGAAGTCAGGCCAAATAAAGATAGTCTTTTGCCATGCATTATTATTATTTAAAGGCTAACTCTACTTTTTGGACCATGTTACACCTATATTTAAGATGTAACATGGTGCCAAGCAGATCCCCCCAACACCTACCTTCATTATGGTCTCCCTCTGCAGGCGTTCTTCTTCCCCACGGCACCTGTCAGATTTGAAATGGGCTCAGCTGTGCAGGGCTCTGAGATCTATGAATGATTAAAATACAAGTACTGTCTGTCACTGCGGCAAAAGGACTTGTAATTCTCCATAAAGTGTTATGGTTACTGCACTTTTAGTCCATTGACACTGCCTCTAGCTCTCTAACAAACTCTGTACCTTGGTTCAGACATAGAGTTGGAGAAAGAGTCTGCAGGTGCTTGGCATTTTACCCATGAACCACTGATCACGGTTGCAATGATTTGCAGATTCATTTGCATTTTTCCTGCAAATATATGTGTATTTGGTTTTTGCTTTTTTTGCAAAAGGTGAACTTAACCTTTAAGTTGCTAAATACTAGGAACAAACTGCTGTGCAATATTCTTAAAACTGTGGGAATTACAGTACAGGAAACAATATGTGAAGACATAGGCCTCCTATAGTTGTGCTTTTAACCTTGGGAAGATATCACTGAGTTGCAATCAATGCATTTGAAAAATATATTCGAGGGGGAAAAAAAAATCAAAGAGTCTGCCTTTATTAATCTGACATCTGAATTAGTTAAAGTGTGGATTATTATTTGTGTTGTTTTCTCATATGGGGAGCTTTATAAGCCCTGGTTTACATCTATGTGGAAGAAGATGAAAGAAAGAGCGAACAAACCTTGCTCATTACCTCAATAAATAGTGACTAATTTTATGTTTAAGGAAATATACTCACAAAGTGATGGTATAACAGGCATAAGTAACCATAATCCAAACAGGGTTACAGGTAAATCCAAAAGGGGGGGGGGGGGGATGAAGGCTAACGCATTTCGAAGGGTGCTCCCTTCTTCATCAGAGCTGATCAAAAAAAAACAAACAAATACATATACAAATACAAATTCCCCTCAAACTATTTACATGAATCATGAAGGTGTAACAGGTGGTGATACTGTAGATGAGCATAGCAATACACATGAAAATACTCATAGAAATGGCAATACGTATAGTAATAATAATAATAATGTCAAAAATCTCGTACAAAAAAACAAACAAACACTATATATATATACATATATATACATACACATACACACACATACACCCATACACAAACATATACACACACACACACATGTGATCACTAGCGTGCGCAAGGTTTGTGCGCTCTTTCTTTCATCTTCTACAGTTTTATTAAGCTTCCCCAGCTTCATGATAGAGCTGCACAACCTCTGATCACCAGCGGATAAACACACAACACGCTGCTTGTTACTAACGCCCGTTTGATCTGAGTCTTTGAGCGCAGGAGATAATGGTCTTTGGTGACTGCTTACATCTATGTGGGTTTGCGGCCCACATTTGTACGGGCACGGCAGCCCATTCATTTTATTTGGCTGTCGTGCCTGCGTTTCCTGCAGGAAAAAGGTTACTGCACCATTCTAAAAATGTAGCGGCTGGGAAATTGCATGGTGCACTGAGTTTTTAGATGCATGGGGGTGCTATTCAGAGTGTGTTTTCAAACAGCAGCATGTTTTTGACTATGGGTGGTTGCGGGTGCGAAATCACTACAATTCCTCCACCCGCATAGTATGCAATGTAGATGTGGGACAGGTGCTGAGTAGAGGTGGGTCAGATGCAGTGTAGGTCTGGTATAAATGCAGTGTAAACTGGGTGTACTTGATGTCCTCCTCTCAGCGTAGCAGTCTCTGTAAGCAGTGCAATTAATAGAGAGATAGCCCTCTCACCTAGGGTACAACTAGTGTGATGAGGCTGAAGCATTATGAGTGGAACTGCACATGGGGTTTCGTATTAGAAAGGTAATCATTGGAGTTTGTTATAGGCTTCCCAGTGTTAATGAGGAGCTTGAGACTCAGCTCCTTCCACAGATCGAAACAGCTGCCAGGGCTGGGACAGTGATAATAATGGGGGATTTTAACTACCCGGAAATTGACTGAAGTAATGATACTGCAGGAACAGTTAAAGGGAAAACATTTATAAACCTACTACACAACAATTTTATTGTACAGTTCATAGTGGCCCCAACTAGAAATGATGCTCTACTGGACCTGGTCACCTCAAACCATGCAGAGCTTATTATGAATGTCCATATAAGAGAGTATCTGGGTAGCAGTGACCATAACATGATTTCATTTATTATTAGCTGTAAATATCAAGCACATACGGGAAAAATAAAAACTCTTTAAGAGAGCTAATTTTCCAAGCCTGAAAACTGTTCTCCAAGACTTAGACTGGGAGGGAATATTGGCATTGATGAACACAACACAGAAATGAGAGTTCTTCAAAAAGACTGTATGTGAACACACTGCATATTCATATGGGCAAAAAGTTTAAAAGGCTAAAAATCAAACCTATGTGGCTATGGCCAAAGTTAAAAAAATATAGATAATAAAAAAGATCTTTTTTTTAATATAAAAATGAAGGAACGCTATCATCGTTCAAACATTACAAAGATTATAACAAAATATGCAAAAAGGAAGTAAAGGCCGCAAAAATTGAAAACAAACGACAGATTGCAAAAGATAGCAGGACAAACCCCCAAAAATTCTTCAAATATATTAATAATTAAAAGGTCCGGTCCGAGTGGGTAACTGGGAACAAAGAGAAGGCAAATTTATTAAATACCATAACCAAGAAAATCAAGTATCTTGCTGCTTGTCCCTGAATGAATATATTTACTAAAAGACCCCCCAGTTGGACTTTATTGCAGCATTGAAATATCATCCATATATCTTAAAGAGACATTATGGTAAAAGAATTATAGCTTTATTACATACACATTTTTTGTATAAAATACATACATTCTAAAGGAAGCATCGCTCCGACAATGTTCTTATATAAAAAGACTTTTAACACAAAGTCAAAGACCATACAGATAGGAAGGGAAAATTATGCCAACGCGTTTCGATCATTCCACATTCTAGATCTTCTTCAGGGGGCATAAAGACAATAAAACTTTCTAATCAACATATAAACTAAAATAATAAGTAAATATACCAGAAAATAAACAAAAAGTCAATGAAATACACATATAGTGACATACACCCACTGGTCCTTACAGAATTGAGCTGTCATTTCAAAGCCATTGTTTCTAATTTTTAGGGACTCTTTAATGACTGGCATTTAACCATTGGATCAGCGTAAGGCCAATGTGGAGCCTATATTTAAAAAAGGGGTCAAAATCTTTACCAAGTAATTATAGACCTGTTAGTTTAACTTCTATAGTTGGGAAGATACTGGAGAGTTTCATAAAAGACCACATAGATGAGTTCTTGCTGGAAAAAAATATTTTAAGCAACAGATAGCATGGATTCATGAAAGACAGAAGTTGTCTAACAAGTTTTATTTCTTTTTATGAGGAGGTGAGCAAAACCTTGGACAGAGGGGGTGGTGGTGGTGGACGTGGTATACTTGGATTCTGCAAAAGTGTTTGACACAGTTCCCCACACATGGCTAATGTGTAAGGTAAAGTCTACAGGCTTGGAAAAAATCTGTATGTAAATGGATAGAAAACTGGTTAAAAGGCATTCAGAGAGTAGTGGTTAATGATTCATACTCTGAATGGTCAGTGGTGTACCTCAAGGTTCAGTGTTGGGACCCTTACTTTATAGATTTATAAATGATAT